CATGCACTTCTGTGTCTGAAGGTGTAGTCCTGATGCATCCATGGAAAGAGAAGTGCTCCATGTCCACCTATTCCTCCTACATTTATTCTTTATTTTTACTTTTTTTATAATCAGGTAATTCTAAGTAAAGAAACTCATTCTAGCTAATCTGCATGTAGCTGATTCGATAAGTTAAAAGACCTTAAGAGCAGGACCAAGGTTTCCTTGAGAAAGATGAAAACCTGGACTGCAGCTTCATAGCTAAGAGTTTTGGCCTGCTCTACAGATTTCATGCTTACCTCACCAGTCTCACAATCAGGAAGGAGTTCCTTGCAATGAATCTCTCTCTCTCTCTGTCTGTCTCCTCTCTCTCTCTCTCTCTCTCTCTCTCTCTCTCTCTCTCTCTCTCTGTCTCCTCAGCATGTGGATTATTTTGAGGTGAAAACAATAAACCCAAAAGACTCAGGAAGAAACTTTGACCTTCCTCTTTAATTTTGAAACAAATTTAGATGGAGGACCTTTTCCCTGAATGGAGATATCACCAGAAACACCTGAAAATAATGTGGGCTAAATATTGAGTGGGTGGAGGGGGGGGTGTGGGGGCAGGCCTAGATACTGTCCACTCTTGTGTTCCATTTTCTCCACATGGCCTAGCAAGCATTTATTTACCAAACTCTTTTCCATCTCCGTACAAACTGTCTTTCTCCCTTTCGGAGTCCCATACCCCTTCCTCCAACACCTTCTTTTGTCTTTAGCTGATGATAGTATTTAAGTGAGGGTTCCAGCCATTTTGTTGAGATACTCAGTTTGCCTGGATCTCTCCCATGTATACATGTTCTCAAACCTTTATTTTCTTCTGTTAATCTGTCTCATGCCATTCTCATTCTTAGACCAGCGAGAATAACTTAATAAAGTAAAATTTCTCCCTCCCCAACATTTCCATATCATACTAGTCCTGCTTCTCTGGTGGAATCCTGACTGATACAACACTTTTAATGGATTGTATGTGAAGTAAACTTCATAGGTAAAGTTATTGAGGTTATGTCTCTCCTTACATTTAAATTACCCCTAAGCTTGATTATTAGTACAAGTGGAATGGCAAGATCAAGGGATTAATGAGGTTGTTTGTTGTTGTTAAGTTCCTAAGACACGTTTGACCCTTTTGAATTTCATGGACTGTAGCCTGCCAGGCTCCTCTGTCCATGGGATTTCCCAGGCAAGAATACTGGAGTGGGTTGCCATTTCTTTCTCCAAGGAAATTCCTGACCTAGGGATTTGAATCCACTGGCAAGTGGATTCTATACCACTGAGCCACCACAGAAACCAAATGAGGTGAGAACAAGTGAATTATTCTCTGGACCATAATTATTCAAGTAGAATCATATATAGCCTTCTCTCAGCAACTTTTAAGAGAGCTGCTTTCACTAATCATGTAAACAAAATAACTGAAATGAAGTTCTTCACTTGATTGTTCAGATCCTGAGGAACTAGATGCCTAACTATCTTGGCTTAATATTAAAATATTGATGGGAGTTTTTTAAATGGGAGTGTGAATGGGAGTGTGTGAAAAACTAATATTAACTGAACACTTACTATTAATATGTGTTAAGTGCTCTGCTGGGTGTTTTACATTTACCTCATTGGTACACACCACGCTGTGAGGTGAATATTCTGTAAATTTTGCAGCTAAAAATGTTGAGGTTGAATGATCTACAAGGGGTTTCTTGGTGGCTCAGTCAGTAAGGAATCCGCCTGCAAAGGATTCAAACCCTGTGTTGGGAAGATCCCCTGGAAAAGGAAATGGCAACCCACTCCAGTATTCTTGACTGGGAAATCCCATGGACAGAGGAACCTGGCAGGCTACAGTCCATGGGGTCACAAGAGTCTGACACAACTTAGTGACTAAACCAACACAAAAGGAGGAAGACCTGGGGGTATCTGAGTCCCATAGCCTCATAGCCTATACTTGTCCCACTGTACTCTTCAAGACAGATTTTGTTTTCTTAGGCTCAAAAATCACTGCAGATGGTAAATGCAGCCATGAAATTAAAAATGCCTGGTCCTTGGAAGGAAAACTATGACAAACCTAGATGGCATATTACAAAGCAGAGACATCATTTTGCTAACAAAGGTCTGGATAGTCAAAGCCATGGCTTTCCCAGTAATCATGTACAGATGTGAGAGCTGGACCATAAAGAAGGCTGAATGCCAAAGAATTGATGCTTTTGAACTGTGGTGCTGAAGAAGACTCTTGAGAGTCCCTTGGACTGCAAGGAGATCAAACTAGTCAATCCTAAAGGAAATCAACCCTAAATATTCATTGGAAGGACTGTGCTGAAGCTGAAGCTCCAATACTTTGGCCACTGATGTGAAGAGTTGACTCATTGGAAAAGACTCTGATGCTGGGAAAGATCAAAGACAAAAGGAGAAGGGATGGCAGAGTAAGAGGTGGTTGGATGGCATCACCACTCAATGGGCATGACAGTGAGCAACTCTGGGAGACAGTGAAGGACAGGGAAGCCTGGTGTGCTGCATTCCATGGGGTCACAAGGAGTTGGACAGGACTGAGCAACTGAACAACAGAGGAGATGGCCAGGGCAATGGAATCAGGAATTTTGTCACAATAGGAACAATTAAAGGGATGTAGATGCTGCATCTGGAGAAGAGAAAAATCAGAGGATGAGAAAAGTATTGCCAGATAGTTGAAGGACTTTAGTGTAGAAGGGAAAACGCTGTTCTGAGGGACACTCAGATTAAACATGACACAGTCCATTTTCTCTCCCCTCATCTCCAAACACCCAGCGTGAATGGGGAAAATGTGTGAGATGGGGCAGGGAGGTAGAGGTGGAGAAAGAATGAACTCAGAGCTGCCATGATGGCTTGAAGAGCCTGTAACTTTTATTTCCTGGATGGGATGGTTGCTGGGAGCGAAGCAGAAACAAAAAAAGCTCTGCATTATCTTCTTAATTTCAGATCAACATTATACATTGCCCAAGACTCTCACAAAGGAAGGATACCTCAAAGGAGATAGAGTAAATATATATAAGCTATAGAAAGATAAATGAAAAGTAGATTTGAACTTGACAGGGAAATAACAGGGTGCAAGAAAAAGTAGAAATGCCTCTCTGGATAAGATACTGTTCAATGTGCTGGGCAAATTTAGAAGTGAATAAAGCATGGCCCCACCCTCAAGGAGCCCTCATTCCAAGGCAGGAAGTCAAAGAGAAAGACAAAAACCTGTAAGGTGGCAGCCTTGGATTGAACCCATATCTCAAATCTGGACCACTAGTAGACATGGCTTTGTCCTCGCTGGCCTTGGCTCCTCAACCATACTACAGGATCCTCCTCTCAGCCATATTATGCAAGTGATGTGAAGATTAGGTTGGGAAACTAGAAGAGCTTTCTGATTACCCAGGGAGTTTTTGTAGAAAAGGAAAAAATCCAAAAGGAAAGTACTCATATGGGAAATAGTTGGGAAATAGTTAGAAAATGTTAAAAGTGAGACCACTTCCAAAATACCACAGTGAGGAAGGAGGCAGAGAGCAGGGAGCAGAAAGAAATGTGATTGTTCCAGAGTTGAGAGGAAAGTGCAGGCTATAATTAGATTGAGAGAACATCAAAACGTAAGGATTGATAGGATTATTAAAGTTGGAAAGTTTAAACGGGTTTTGTATAAAGAAGTTGTGCCTCCTTTACCTGAATATTTTAGGGAAATGGATATTGTGTTTGGCTTGGGGAACTCTTCCTTTGCCTAGTATTGTAAAACCAAAATCTATTGGGTTGGCCAAAAAGCTCATTTGATAAGATGTTATAGAAACTAACTTTTTCTTGGTTTGTGTCTAAAACATTTAACAAAATACTTTCTATATAATGGGGGAAAAATATAGTCAGTGTCTATGTTGGTTATCAAACATAATTACAAAAGACACATCTGAGAACCATCTCTTAAAAACGAGACCAAAAGTTTTGAAATGACCTAGATGTCTCCCCCTGATTGGTTGACCTATGATAAGGAAAATTCCAAAACTTGTGTTCATCATTGCACCATTTAAAAATGGTTTACCTGTGTATCTTTAAGCAGTACTTGGTTTGTTTTTGAGCCTTATAAAAATGGTGCCATAATGTATATATATGCAAAGGAATATTACTGAGCCATGAAAAGGAATGAAATTGGGTCATTTGTAGCAATGTGAATGGGTGGACATAAAGTCTGTTATACAGAGTAAAGTAAGTCAGGAAGAGAAAAACAAATGTCATACATTAATGCATATGTGTGGAATCTAGAAAGATAGTACAGATGAGCCTGTTTACAGGGCAGGTATGGAGACACAGAATAGAGAATAGACACGTGGACACAATGGGGGAGGGGGGCAGAAGAACTGGGAGAGTAGAATTGATAGTGTGTAAAATAGATAGCTAGTGTGAAGCTGCTGGGCAGCACAGGGAGCTCAACTCAGTGCTCTGTGACCTAGAGGGGTGGGATGGGAGTGGGTGGGAAGGAGGGTCAAGAGGGCGGGGATGTAAAAATCCAACTAATATTTTGGCCAGCCCAATATGACTAAAGTCCTAATGGAGGCTACAAAAAAAAAAAAAAAAAGAATGAAAGTGTTGAGCATTCATCACAGATATTCATCAAAGATGAGGAACTCTCTATGTGATTGTGATTGAGACTCTGAATTTCAAATTCCATCCATACCTCCTGCCTCAAAACTTGGAGTCAGAGGAACCATTTCCTGGCCAAGCTCTGCCCCTCACTTGCTCTTCATTGTTGAGCAAGTCACTTCCCTCCTAGTTTTCTGGCTTGTTAAACTGTTGAATATGATAATAGCATATTCACTGTCAGTTTTGTGAGAATGAGACAAAAGTACAGGAGTGCCTAACATAATATCTAACACAGGAGTAGGTATGTAGAAATATTAGCTTAATCTCAACTGCTGCACTCCATAAAGACTTTCTTCCACTTCTTACATGGGAAAACAAAGGTTCAGAGAGATTTGTCATTTAAATTACCTATTTTAAGTTCACTCCTTGCTGGAAATCACTAGGCACTTGCCTAATCTCTCCATGGTTGCCTGCATCTCCTGGTTCCTCAGGGTGTAGATGATGAGGTTGAGCACAGGGTTCAAGGCCCTGTAGCTGATGGATGCAGCCTTGTCTATGGAGAAGGTAGTGAAGGGTCGGGCATAGATAATAGATACAGGGAATGAAGACCATAGACACGACAATGATGTGGGCGGTGCACGTGGAAGCTGCCTTCCTCCTCGCCTGCCCAGAGTGGGACCTCAGCATCACCAGGATGACGGTGTAAGAGATCAGAAGGAGGAGGAACCAGATGAGGACCAGCATCCCACTGTTGGAGATCATAAGGAACTCCAGGAGGGAGGTGTCTGTGCAGACAAGCCTCAGCACTTGTGGAATGTCACAGTAGAAGTTATCTAGGATGCTGGGGCCACAGAAAGGTAATGCGAGCATGAGAGCCAGCTGGACAATAGAATGGACAAAGCCCCGTACCCAGGCAGCCAGCTCTAGACCCACACACTTTCAAGTGTTCATCATGGTGACATAGTGGAGGGGCCGGGAGATGGCTATGTAGTGGTCACAGGCTAACACTGGGAGGAAGAAGACAGTCCCACCTCTTAGAGAGTGGAAGAAGATCTGGGTCATGCAGCCCTGGTAGGAGATGGTCTTGGTGCCATGCAAGAAGTCCACCAGCATCTTTGGGAAAGTGACTGTAGAATAGCAGATGTCTATGACAGAGAAAAAGATACATGGTTATATGGAGCTGAGAGTCAATAGTCGCTGTGACCATGATGAGGAGGGTTCCCACAATGGTGATGACATAGACAAATGGGAACACCACAAACAGGGATTTCTGGAACTCCTCCATCTGTGAGAACCCCAAGAGGACAAACTCTGACACCTGTATGATATTCTATGTTTCCATGGGACCTTCCCCACATGCCTAGAGAGAAACCATGCAAAATGAAAACTTTAACAATTCAATCATTCTCCTTTAGAGAGTCAGGATTCAGTTGATCAAAGTCACTGTTGAGTACCACTCCCCAAGTGGAATTTAGAAGAGCCTTTCAAGGAGATAAATATATATTTCAAGGCTTTCATGCTCATCTCCCTAACCACACCCTACATTGTATTACAAGCATTAATACATTACATTAATTGTACAATGCTGTCCTCGTCCATGGGTCATGTCTGATTCATACTTGCTGTGTCTGTGAGCCACAGCCTTCACAAATATAGTTGAACCAATCAATGGATTGATACACATGTCACCAAGTACCTATGACCACAAACATAATCAACCTAGGTGCATAAATCCTAAGAAGATATTGAGATTAATGATTAATGAAGTTAGATAAACAGGTAGATGTTCTTCATGGTGAACATTTGATGGGCTTCCCATGGTTCATTTGCTAAAGAAAGAGAGATGTGTACTAGAAGAAATTGATGTGTACAAATTCAGAGGAAAATGTAAAGAAAACTAAGCAGTTGATTTTGGCCATAGTGAAGCTGGGATGATTAGAGTTTCTCAAACCTTCCCACGTAAATAGTTCTCAAGTGGTGTTTGTTGTCATGGAGCCATCTGTGGGATAACTCCAAGCAGCCCAGGACAAGTGTAAAATCTCCTTAAATCCTCCTGTGTTATATTTTAAAACTTTTGTGAATTTTCTATTAAACACATATCTCTAGATAGTCTTTGGAAGTCAAATTTTGTGGCTTGTAAAGCTTTGTAAGACCAAAATATTAAAGAAAAATAGGATAGGGGAGGGAGAGGGATCAAGATGGTGGAGGAGTAGGATGTGGAGTTCATCTTCTCCCACAAAAATATTAAAAACATATCTACAAGTGGAACAATTCACACAGAAGAGCTACTGAATGCCAACAGAAGACCTCAGGCATCCAAAAAGGCAAGAAAACTGGTAAATGATATTTGACTAATAAATACAAATAGGAAATCACAATGGTAAAGAACATTAAAATATATATATTTATGAATAATACTCTACTAGAAAAAGGAAAAACAAAAAAAAAAGGATGAAATGTCACTGACCAATATATATAAAAAAAATGCAGATTCTCTATCAATCAAAGAAATCTAAATTCAAATCAACATTTTTAAAAATCCACTTATAAAGGCTTATTGAGATAGGCTTTCTCACACCCTACTGGTAAAAGCATAAATTAATATCACTTATCTAGAATGCAATTTGTCAATCTACTTCTGGGTTTTTAATATATACAAAATCTATTGTGACTTCAGGAACTTGAGCCTGTAAAAATACCAAAAATGTAAACAAACACTTATGTAAATAGATGTAAAGTTCACTATTATTTCTAGAAGAAAAACAGGAAATTATGTAAAACCTAACTACAGAAGAAACAGAAGAATCTACAATAATTAATCCCCCAGTGAAAGTTGCTCAGTAGTGTCTGATTCTTTGCAACCCCCATGGACTATACAGTCCATGGAATTCTTCAGACCAGAATACTGGAGGGGGTAGCCATTCCCTTCTCCAGGGGATCTTCCCAACCCAGGAGTCAGACCAGGGTCTCCTGCATTGCAGGTAGATTATTTATCAGCTGAGCTATCAGGGAAGCCCTAATTGTTTCTGTTTACTGAGCTTTCATAACATGCCCACTTTTGTCAAGGGCTTTGTAGACGTGATGTTATTTTTGTCTTTATAATGACACAGAGAAGTAGGACTCTTCACATTTTATACTCAAAAGAGTGCTATCAGAGCGGTCAGGATCATAATGGACATTACCAAACTCATACCTGGTAAGGTTTGTAGTCATGTGATTGAAAAGTGAATGTTCTTCAATATTATGTCAATACTTCTTTACTGTATAGTAATACTGTACATCCATTTTAAATGAGCTGTTTCTTTGTTGAACCATCGCTAAATTGACCTAGAAAAAAAATTGGGTCAAATACAAATGTTATTTCATTAAAGTTTGGTTATTGATACCTAAAAACAGAAAGAACAAAAATATAGAATGGGGAAGAAACATTTCTTTAGTTCAGTAAGTGAAAGTTCTAGAAGACATGTATTTGAAAAATAAACTGAGCTCTTTGGTGTTAAATCTGTTCCCCTTGGGGACTTCTCTGGTGGTCCAGTGGTTAAGAATCTGCCTTACAATGCAGGGAATGTAGGTTCGATTCCTGGCTGGGGAACTAAGATCTTGCATGCTGCAGAGCAACTCAGCCCAGGCACTCAACTAGAGAATCCTTGCACCACAGCTAGAGTGTTCTTGTGCCACAACTAAGACCCAGTGCAGCCAAATAAAAAAAATTAATTCATTCCTGTGGATTACATTTTTCCAGAATTTTTCTCTAATCATTCAGGAAATTTTGCCCTGAGGCTCCACCCCGTGAAGAAAATAGAACATAGAAAGATCTCTCCTCCCTGATCCCCTCCTGAAATATGGAAAGAGCAGCAGCAAATGCACTGATGTTTACAAGGGGATTTAATGAATATATGTAAAAATATTTCTATCAACCTGTAGACAAATACAAAATAGACTTCTCTCTAAAATTATCTGTGAGGTATTCAAAATATTTCTCTGTTTATCTCATCTCAAACTCACTTTTATCCTCAAATATTTGTATAAAAATGTTTCAGGAACATATACATTACCATATGTAAAATATATGACCAGTAAAAATTCAATGTATGAAGCAGGGCACCCAAAGCTGGTGCTCTGGGACAACCCAAAGGGATGGGATGGGGTGGGAGGTGGGGGGAGATCCAGGATTCAGGGGACAGATGTATACCTGTGATCAATTCGTGTTGATGTATGGCAAAAACCATCACAATATTGTAAAGTAATTATCTTCTAATTAAAATAAATAAAATTTTTTAAAATGTTGTTTCAGGAAGATGCATTTTGTTCATTCGGTGGCTACATCAACTCTCAGCATAGGACCACTGGAAAAGTATCCTCATGGGCCACCGAGACCCCTGCAAGACCTTGGGAGGAGAATGATATGATGAAACAGGGTAAAAAAGGGCTTATCCTAGCACAGTAGGGCAGGAAGCCCTGAGACAGGCAAGAGCAAAACAGTACTTCCTAGGACATTGTCAGAGCCACCCCAACAAAGGGCAATATGCTTAGTCTAGTTTTGTGTCTTTGCTCCTCCACATGGTGTCAAAGTCAGACTGGGTAGACAGCAGCTTAAATAGCATGGTTTGGCCTCTCAGAGGAAGTCCCTGACCCCTAACCCTTCATCCTCAACTCTCCCACCTGTTCACTGATTTCTCGAATGCCAATGGCACAGCTTTATTATACCTATTTTTGTCTTTACCCATAGTAAGTTGACAACTATCACACTTTTCTATGCCTTTATCAAAGAAATGCATGTGTGCAACGTTATAAATAAACTGACTTCCTGAAAGACATTTTCCCTCTCCTTCAAAGTTTTCTCAAAAGCATTTCCATGGTTCTTCATTGTCTACAAGGAGAAATTTCCAGTTTTCTGGTGGGTTTTCAGGGGCTTCCATACAAACTGGCTCCTACCTTTCTTTCCAGACCCAAATGCCACTTAATAGTGGTAAAAACAGTAAACATTCATTGTAGCAGTAGTGGTCATAATTGTAAACATTTACTGTGTGTTTATTATGTGCTAGGCACTATGCTAAATATTTTATAAGCATTATCCTGTTTAATTCTCATATATCATTCTCATGCTTAAAAATTATAATAAGTACTATTAATTATCCCCACTTTACAGATAAGTAAACTGAGGCTTAAAGAGGTTAAATAATTTGTCCCATGTGACACAGAGAATAAGTAACAGAGCTGGAACTCTGAACAAATCCACACCCTTAACTATTACTCTCTTCTTGCTTGCTCCCCTCTAAGAAACCCCTTGGCTTCAAAGAACCTGATCTTCTCCTTGGTTCCTCAGGCCTCACTGTCTTCCATCAGGCTAGTGCCCCACCTGGATTGCCTTTCCATCCTGTCCCCCTGTCTGAACTTTACCTCTCTTCAATTCCCAAGCGTAATTAGCCCTTCCATGCATTGCCATATACTGGTATTTTTCCATTAGAATGCTTCTGCCATCTCAGGTGTGTTTGTAATTTTACTGAAAGTCTAACATGTTGAGTGCCATACAATTCTTAGGCACAGAAGACCTTTCTCATAGATGGTCCCCAGAGAATGCTTGATTGCTTGATGTTGGATGGAGTGCTCATATGGGCTGACTTCTGTGAGAGGTGAGAGGAGAGAGAGCAGCCACTGAACAAAGGGATTCAATTTAAGGAACCTGGAAAAGAATCCAAGCATCCAAGTTCCCAGCACTACCAGGTTTACAACCCTGGAAGCATCATCTCAGCATGGCCAGGATTCTCTACTAACTCATAAATACTCTTTGGAAATGATTCTTCCACCTGCATCCTAGAAAGAGATTTAGAGGGATTCTAGATGGGCAATCAAGTAAAGAGACAAGAGGG